TGTGCAGTGTGCATAGGAATTCATTCATATTTTTTTCAAACTATAGTCTAGCCCCCCAGCAGTCTGCGGGACAGTGAACTGGCCCCCTGTTTAAAAAGTTTGAGGACACCTGGTTTAAACCAACAGTAGCTCCACAGTCCTGGTGCCCCCTCTTCCACACCAAGCATATTTTTGAGGCTGAGAGTCAGATGTGTTTACTAGTGCTGCCAAAACCATGGCTCATGTCCCCTTACTACCAGAGAAGTAGGTCTCTGTCCTGGTAGCATGAGCTATACCTTTGCTCATGGGGGGGCGGGGGGGTGGGGAGTTCTTTACTGTTGAATCATCACCACACCTTGGCCAAGGGCTAAAAATTCTATGGATTCTTGTCCCAGACAATCCTTGAACTATGACTTGGAAATAGCAAGAACACTTCTCTGTAGATTAGGCCACACTATGGTTCCCCCATACAATCAGTTCACCTCATCAATGGGTAGTGGTGCTGGTTCCAGACATGGCTCTTGACTATGTAATTGTCCTGCACCATCAGAGAAATTTGCAGGGAATTCAAATAGCTTTGTCTTCATCTTGTAACCCATTCCCAGGTTTCCTCAATGTTTCTTCCGGGTTTTTGCTTAACATGAAAACAAACACACACACTCACACTAAAAGCACACACATGGCTGCTAGACAGCATCTAGGAAACTGTAAGATTTTTGAGTTCCCAGCCATGAGGTCAGAATATTCTACCAGTCTGTTGTTGGGGATCTGCACTTAGGTCCTCCTCTCCTCAAAGCCATCATGGAAAGAACTATGGCAGCTGCTTCTCCAGGGTTGTTGAAACAACCTCACAGAAGGGCTTTTGGGCGCATTCCAGGGGTGGGGAAGAGACTAGTGCCACCAAGATATGATGCATCCTGGTAGCTCCCTAGCCTCCTTCCCTTCCACTCTGAAAACACCACACTTGGATGGCCAAAACTGGCTTGCTGTAGTGTTTTGCAGAGTAAGAGGAACATGGAAACAGCCTGCACCCCCGTGAACTTCATTCCCAAGTTTGCTTGTTTGCTTGCTTGTTTTTAAACTTGTAATAGTCCCTCTGAAATCTCTAAGCAGTTTATAACAAAATAAATAATAAAACAATATAGGATTAAAATAGATAAAACCGGCACAATAATATAAAAATAACAATATTATCTGTAACAATATTACAGCTGACAGTTAAACTATGGTGAATTAAAATTCATAAAACAACATAAAATTCCTTTTAAAAAGCCATATACAATTATTAAAAACCAATGATTAAAATAATTTAATTTGAATGATTTAATTTTAAACTGTTTTTGCCTGGCACCAAAAAAATGGAATGAAGATGCCAGGTGAACCACTCTCAGGAGGCTTTTTCACAAGTGGGACACAATCACTGAAAAGGCCCCTCCGTGCCATCCTCACCTCTTTGAAGTGAGTTCAAAGAGTTGCAGTCATCTCCACAGGATTTGGGGTGTGGGGAGAAGAAATACCTTTGCACTGTCTTCTGACTGGGAGCACTAAGAGCCCTGTGTCTGGAAGCACCCTGGGGCCCAGAGAGCCTTTTGTACTTCTGCAGGCAGCCCTCATCCAGACAGCAAGAAGCTTTGCCCTGCAACCCTTGGTTTTCTTTAGCCCCCATTCATACCCTCTACAGCAGAGGTTGGCCAAAGTTAGCTATTCAGAGGTTCTGGGCTTCTGTTCCAGGAAGCCCTCGCCAGCAAGGCCAATAGTCAGAAATGCTGGGAGCTAAAGTCCAAAAATCTGGAGATCTGCTTTCTGTCTGCTGTGGTACTTCTTCAATCTTCTGGCTCCAATCACTTTGCTGACATTTCTGTCCAGAGCTAGGCATTCTGGCATAGTCTAGATATTTTGACTGCACATTTGAACAGGGAGTTTGGGCATACCATGCCTCCATACCTTGCTCTCCCCAACACCATCATCTTTGAATTCCTTTAAAAGGATGGGGTTCTTGTTGCTCTGTGGTCTTGTCCAAGGAGGAAATGTAAGAAAATATGTTCTTGCTGCCCAAAAGGTTTTTAGGGATTAGATTTGTTTTGCAATATCTGGGCATATTCAATACTCCACTGTAATGTTTCTCAGATATATTCCTTTAAGGAGGTAACATGCACATTAAAAGGGGCTTTCAAAGCCACTTTGGAACTGGATCAGGAGAAAGAGTTGTGTTTTGAGCTGTGTTCTGTAGTTTTGCAGCTTCTGGAAATATGAGAGCTCTATGAAGCTGGGATGCTTTGGGAAGCAGAACAGCTCTTTTGCTACATTTCACTTTTGGCCTTGTTACTATCTTTATTAGAATTATGAATCTCACATTCTTATATTACAACACTATCCAGGGTAGCTTACAATGAGTGCAAATTATAAAGTCTATAAAAATGAAAGGAAAACCAAAGACACGATTCTTTACACTTGTAGTCAAAAAGACTGCTTACTGGCTATAGCATGCTGAAAGTTACCCGCTTTTTTTCTTCCAACATTTCCCCTATACCATGTAAGTGTTAAACAGAAAAAAATCCCTCTAAACATGAGGGAATGTTTTGAGAAGTCTAGCTATGTGCAGTTTTTTAAATATGTGCTTTCTTTCCAGGACCAGCCCTACTGTGAGACAAAGTGAAGCAGTTGCTTCAGGCAGCAAGTGATGGGTGGTACGGTGAGGAAAGCAGCAGCTGTTTCTTAGCTTCCCCTTCTTTGGAAAACACCACTCCACAGGGCTGCTCTGCATGCCTGTGTAATGAATGAACTAAAATGCCATTCTTGGCTGGCATCCCAGAGTCATCATGGCATAGATTCTGAAGAAGAGCTTGAAAACACAATGATGAGAGTTTAGGAAGCTCAGGGACAGGACTTTGAACTGCCCTTGGGGTCCACAGGTTCCAGACCAACCGCGAGAGCAAAGCAGTTTTGAAAGAGAGAGGAGGGGTTCAAGAACCAGAGGAGAAAAAGCCATTGCCTTGCCTGGTCCTTGAGCCCATGACAAGGCATCTGGAGAGACGAACTATCAGCTGGTTAAACTTCTGCAGGTGGACTGGGACTGGGCATCTTGTTCTTCACTTCAGGCAGCACAATGTCTTGGACCAGCCCTGCTTTTTCTAGAATTTTATTGTCTGCCCCACTAATACCATTCCTTCTGGTACAATGATATTTTACTTCCCAGCAGTGCTGTGTAGATGAAGCAAAAATCCTTCCATGGAGTCATGTGCCTAACACACAGAGCCACACTGTTTGTTGCTTTCCAATTCAGCCCCAGTGCTTGTGTATGTGTACAACTGCATCATTGTACAATATAGCAACTTCAGTGCAGTGCACCAAAGGTCGCTCTCCTTAACAAGGAAGGCGTGTCTTGGGACAGGATCATAAGAACTGGATGTGTTATCAGGCTGGGAAGAAATTAGCCCAAGATATTGGACCAGATAGCAACACTTAATGAATATTTGGTGCTAATTTTGCATTTGCTTAAAAAGTTGCAATCATGAAAATGGATAGGAACAGAAGCAGAGTCACGCTGGATCAGACCAAGGTCCATCTAATCCAACATTCTGTTCGCACAGTGGCCAACCAGCTGCCCACAGAAAACCCACAAACAGGACCTGAGTGCAACAGAGGCCTCCCACCTTTATTCCACAGCAATTGGTGTACATAGCCATTTTACCTATTCTACTAGGGATAGTCTATAGTTTTCAGGACTAGCAAGCATTGGTAGACTTCTCCATGAATTTGTCCAGCCTTTTAAAACCATCCAAATTGGTGGCTATCATTACATCTTGATATGTGCTGTGTGAGTATAAACTTCTTTTTAATCTGTCCTGAATCTCCCACCAATCAGTTTCACAGGATGATCTGGGTTCTAGTGTGAAGAGAGAGAAAATCTTTCTTATCCACTTTCTCCGCACCATACATAATTTGTATACTCTAGCATGACTTCCATCAGGCAGCTCTTTGCTAAGTTAAGCAGTCCCAGCTGTTGTAAACTTTCCAACCTGGATGCTGGGATAATGTCGGGAAAAGGTCTGGAGATTTTAGTCCAGATCAGCAACATGAAAGTTTATACATAATTCACACACATACAAGCAGGGATAGTTTTACTGTGGCAGAAGCTGCATTGCATCTAACAAAAGTAGACCAAAGCTTATGGCATCATAAACTTGTTAGTTTTTCAAAATGCTACAGGATTCTGGGGATTTTCCAGAAAAACAGTATTAGACAGGTGGTTAGACCATCTTCTGGACTAAGGGCTGTGAGGCCTGGAGAGGAAATACAACCCAAGTCTAAAACGATAGTTTCCTTAAAAGATAGGAACTAGCCCAGGGGAGGGCAGACAGCAGAGCTAAATGGACTGGGAAATCTCGGGTTGGTTCGCTATAGACTGACAAGGGCTTCTGGCTCCCAACGGTTTAATAACTCACACTGCTGAAATGAAGAAGAAATGAGGTAAACGGGAGCAGGCTTTTTATGTGAAACTCCATTCAAATCGGGCACTCTCGAAACGGATTCCGGGTCTCAGCCTTCTGTATTCTAAGCATTTGTCTTTTTGCACCAGGCTCCGGTTGCCACATCTTGCGGTTCTAGTCAAAAACAATGTCGATCCCTCAAGCCTGGAGTGTGCCAAACCCTGATCGAGACGACAAAATTCCCTCGCCGCTGTGTTTGGAACCCAGGAGGCATGCATAGCACGGCGTGAATCTCCAGGCTCCAAGCCCCGCTCTCCGCCTTCCCCGAGACAGACCTGGCGGGATCCCTTCCTTCCGCCTTGTGCGTCTGTGCCGGAGCTCTCGGGGCCACACGTCGTGCTTTGCTTTCACACGCCTCCTTAGAGCGCCAGCGGCCGGAGCGGGAGGGGGCCAGAATTAAGAGGACGGCGAGCGCGGGCAACCGGAGAGAGCTGAAGGCTGCGTCCAGGCGGCGAGGAGAGGTGGGAGGGAAGAAAGGAAGGGGAAGAGCCTCGGTGCTGCCGGGCGGCGGGAGGGGCCTGGTCCGACGGCAACGCAGTTTGGGGGCTCTTTTCGCCCTCCCCCCACGCCAGTCCTGGAGCTGGAAGGAGGAAGAGCAAGAGGCCGGCGGACCGGGTGTGTGTTGCGCTGAGCGCTGGGGAAGCTGGTTGGCTGCTCCTGCCTACGAGGACGGGGACGCTCCAAGCGGCAGGGCCAGAGCAGCAAGGCAGAAGGGCAGCTCAGCTTGCGACTCAGCGGCGGAAAAGGAGAAAGAGGCGGCCGCCACCCGGCGAAAGACGGGCTAGAGTGCTTCTGGGGGAGCCGCTGCGGCCAAAGGGCGCGAGGGCGCAACCGGACAGGAACGCGCGCCGGGCTTCTGAACCCATTAGCCGTCGCCGCAATTCCCTCCTGCGCCTGTTTGCCTGGAGTTGGTTTGGGCTTCTGGAATTGCGTCGCCTGCGGCAAGCTCGGAGTTGCTGAAGGTGGGTGTGCAGGAGAGTCGGTGCGGCTGGCCGGCCCGTGTTCCAGCCTGTCTTTGCAGAGCTCCTCCTGGAGGAGGAGAATCCCCCTCCTTGTTCTTGCATTTCCCCAGACCAGGAGGCTGCTGGAGAGGAGGGGGAATGGGGTGGGAAGGGGAGCCGTGTTGTGGGGGACGACGCGTTACGGCCCCCGAGGGAGATTGGCGCCAAGGTGAGTGCGGGGAGGCTCTGTGGCGAAGATGGGGGCCGCGCGGCGTTAGATTAAGAAATGGCACCCGGAAAGGCTCTTCTGCCACCCACCCCCGTGTTTTTTCTTGCTTTTGAATCCGGCTGGAACAGGTGAAGGTGTGTTGCTGTTTCTCCCATCAGTATGTTGCACAGCTTTAGATTCTCGCTCTTTCAAAATGCGATCATCGGTCAGTAAGGGTTAAGAAATGGGGCTACAGTGGTCGAGATTCTTCTCAGATTTGCGGCCTTTGTCTCCCCCCTTTCGTATTCAGTTTGGGCAGTTTTGCAGGTGCTTAACTTGCTTATTTTGTGGCAGAGGGGATTGATAATTACAGGGTTCGGGGAAGTTGTAGAAATGGGTGGTTTGTTTCAGACAGTAAAATCAGAGCTCTGGAACAGTCATTACCACACTTTCGCATGTCACAATTTGTACTACAGCATTCCTCCCCCCCCCCCAACAAACTGAAAAGAAGCTTCCTGCTGCATCTCACAGCAGGTTTTCTTGGCTGCCTGTAAGAATGAACGCATTTGATAAGTTGTTTCCCACCCCTACCCGTTTTGCCTTCTGGTAACTGAAGCATCTTCTTGTGAAGAAGAGCAACAGTTGGACCTCTGTTAACTCTAGGCCATTTAGCTTTATTCATGATCTTGGTTCTTTTTGGCTCCTTCAGAAATCTTTCTGAAATGTACAGCTGAGAATTGGTTGGTGTGTTCATTGGCTCAATTTCACAATACAGATAAACACTATAAAGGTAATGGTTTCCTTCTTAATGAAACAGAGAAATACTTAATGGAAATACTAAGCACCAGATTATTCTACTGCCACCAGGAATTAAAAAAAAAAGATATTCCTGCATTTCCTTTTATTGGCTGTGAGTGGGGGTACCAATAGTTCAAGACTGTGTTTGTATGGAGAAGTAATGAAGCAATTGCATTAGTGTGCCTTTAACATGTTTAATTTTGCTGCATAATGCCCTTAAAGGAAGCTTTCGTTCAATGTATGAAGTTTGCCTTGTGTTATCACAAGGTTATTTGCCTAAAATAGCATTGCTTCCTGGAACCAATAAGTATTGCAGTGCACCACGTAGTCAATGCAGGGGAGAGTTTTCTCTTTCACTATATGCAAAACATACCTTGTGTATTTACAATGCTTATTCTTGTTTAGTTTTTTCCATATAAGTAAAGTTGCATTAGTCTGTTAAAGAAAATGTCAGTAGCATCTTCTTCAAAAATGGGTTGTGGGGGTTGTTGCCTCAAGCAGTTTTTATAGGAATCTCAAAATGTTTTGGAATGGGAGATATGAACGAGGAGACCTTTAAGGAGTTTATCAGTAATACTCAAATGTGAGAATGTGGGGTGATTCAGACATAACACTTAAAACAGTTCAGTGTTACGAAAATTAGATTAGCCTTCTTCGGGGCTTGTTTGTCTACCCAGTACCTTTTCATCTGCAGAGCCATGAACATTTCAGCAGCTTTTCATTCTGTTTTAGATTAACTGCAGTTTGCTGTGTCATTGGAACCTGGATAAACTGTAGTTATTCTTAACTATAGTTAGGAGAAACAAACAAACTTCAAACCATAGGTTCAGATCCAGCATTGTGCGAAGAGTTCTGCTTGCATAATGAGGCTTCCCCATTCTTTCATTCCCCTGCCTCTCTTGCAAATATTTGCACATCCTTTGGATCTGTTCTGGACAGACTCTGAGTCCTCTGGACCAGATCTTGGCATTGCACAGAGGCGGGGGTGGGGGGTACCTTTTGTCAGCGGTTTCTGTTCCACTGGGAGAAGGACATCACTGGATTCAGGCCAGAGTTTTGGCTTAACAATTCATCAGTATGCAGCCATTCAAAGTTTTTAGAGTAGCTAGGAAACACGTATTTCTTGGTGATTTCTGTCGGTTTGAGCTCTGCCTTTTTTAGGTTCATGCAAAATACATGGAAATAGGTTCTCCAACATTATACTGATAATCAGTAGTGATATTTGCTTAAGCTTTGGTTTGCTTGGGTTAACATGGGAAACCTTCACTAAGCATCATAAATCTTTTGGCGAACCCATATGCCTGTTTCACTTCATTTGATAAAGGGCCTTGCCCCCTGCCTTTCCATGGGTTTATTGCATGACCTCAGCAACTGACTGTCAGGCTTATTATTACATTATTTTTCCAGTCATTAATGGGGCTGCCAGCTGATCGGAAAAACACACCCTTCCCAAGCTTACTCTGATATCATTACAGTTTGATTTGCAGAAATCAGCTGCTGAAGCTTTTACTGAAAATAAGCACTTGCTAATGGTTATAGTTCAAGGTGCTGTTTATAGATGTAGATGTAAGACTAAAGAACTGTTTCATAAAATAGGAATAGTTGTGACAGAAGTAATAAGGATAAATGGAGCCATTTTAAAATCGCTTCATAAAATCAAAATTAGGAAGAATAAAGCAATAGGATAGAAGTATCTGCTTGCTTGTGGAATGTGAACAAAGGTTAATGTTTCTAATAGATTTTTTTCTTTGCATTCTTTCATTTATACCTGAGAATTTTAACTCTTCAACATTAGTGGACCTCACATAAATTCAGACATTTCTTCTATACACTACAAGTGCAATCTTATATCTGTATCCTGAGAAATAAATCCCACTGCGTTTGTATGGGATTATAGTCTATTATTACTTTCTTGAAATCATTGAAGTGTTAATGAAAACTACCAGTGTCAAGAAGGAATAGTATGTTTCTCCAATGAGAGTTTTTTTGTTTTTGTTTTTTTGTAAATGGAAGAGAAATGTGTACCATAATCTATGATATCACATGGCTTATAAACATTGTCAGTCAGTGATTATACAACACCTTCTTCCAAAACTAAATTTACTAAATTTAAATTGTCAGGTTTGACAATGTGGAAAAAAGCCCCTCTCAGAGCTTTGAAGGGCAACCCATCATTGTGCGAGTTACATTAATTTGTCTGTGCCAGAGGTTATGGGCATCCAATGAAGGACAGGAGGAGCATGGAGGCTTGGATTGCTTCTGTGCTTCAACTTCCAGAACATGTGGGCAGCTAATTTAGGACAGCTAAATGTTTTTCTCTCCTTGTGAGAAGGAGAGGCTGAGGCCTGGATTTGGTATATGTTGCAGGTGCTTTGCTCCTTCCCACCCCACTCTTAGGAATGCTCACCCACTGCTCTAAAGAAGCATTTTTCTGCGGCCACAGCAGGAAGGCTTTCTTCTCCTATGGAGGGCCTGATAGCATCTGGTGGCCATTGGACTGCACCCTTACAGACTCATGCAAATGAATTATTGACTCTGTCATTTGCACACACTTACAGGAAAAGTAGTCAGTCATGGATATTCATTTTAGTTTTGCATCTCCTGAAAAAGGCTCTGTCTATGCTGACTGCCAGCTCTTGCTTCGTGAAAGTTTTGAGCATCCAGTTTTTGCTCTACTGACTGAAGTTTCATGTTCAAAGACCCAGGCAGAATAGGAGTGTTGTTTTCTGTTATTGTGGAGCTTGAGGTGTGCTGAATAAGGCAGAAGAGTTAGGACAGAAAGGAAGTATTAGAATCTTTATATACATAATTTGATAATTACAAATTAAATGAATGTATGCATTTAATTAAAAATAAAACTGGACATATACAATTAATTTCTATATTCGGTCAACACATTCAGCGGATAAGTCAGGCTATTCTGTGAAAATGAAGAACTGATCTGATGATTTCTCAAATATAGGTATTGACACTTTACCTATCTGATGTAGGCATTTCATTTTCAGTGATGAAAATAAAACTCATCCGATCTGCTCAGCAGCTGCCGAAGGTTCCCCACTGTTAATCCAGCAGAGAGGGGTTGCTTGGCAACTCCTTTTAGCCAGGACTGGCAGTGGTAAGGACAAGCCACATTCTGCTCTGCCTTCTCTGAGCAGAACATGGTTCATTTCCCCCCACTGCTCATCACTAGCTGTAGCAGTTACTGAGTGAGGGTAACACATTCACCTGGACTTCCTCCTGAGGACTGCAGTTAATTCCCCCATCCACCACTGCAATTGTGGCAACAGGCATTTCTGCTGGACCTACTCTGAGGAGACCCGGCAGAATACCCTAGGTGCTGTGCAGCAGCAGGAAAGCTGATGTCAGCTACCCAGAGTGCCACTTGGACACTTTGGGCAGCTGTCGTCAGAGCTGCTTGACCAGCGTGGCCAGACTTTCTACCACTCTTGCCAAGAGGCTGTATAGGCCTATTGGACATTGTTGTCCAGGTCTGGATGAGGTACTGTGAAACCCTACAAGAAGCCATGGGGTTATTTGGGGAAGGGTCTTTGTAGTCACAGTGAAGCCACTCTGAGTCCTCTGAGTCATTGTGGCTTCAAGGTTATTGGCCTGATTCACACACACAGCAGTCCATGGTGACTGAATTTACCCTGAGCCTGTTGTATCATACCATGAGGCAGCAGACACCAGTTTGCATAGCACCGGTGGGCATCTGGCTTACCATAGTTTGTCATGTGAACCCATGTAGTAGGTGCTATTTTGGGGTTATATAACCCTCCAATATAGCATGGCTTGTTTTAAGGTTACTTGTGGGTTGTCTAACCCTGAAACAGTACCTGCCACCTGAGTTCACATGACATAGCAAGCCATGGAAAGCCAGTGGTTCCCATAGATGGTGAAAACAATGCAACAGTTACTCAGGTAAATTGAGCTGTGGCGGGCTGTCACATCATGCAAACCTGTCCTGGGGGTAAGCCACATTGAACTCAGTGATACTAAGTTCTGCGTAAGCATG